ACAAGCAGTTCTCTTAATTTGTTGCAGATGGCTGATCCCTTGACTGCATTAATTCATGCTGTACAAGTAATGAACTTGTTAAAAGTCCTTATTCTTAAGATCCTCCAAGGAAGGGAAGAATCAGAGGCCAACCAGCAGTCCTCTCGCTTGGATCCTCCCAACCACAATACTAACACAAAATCTTCAAACGCAACCATTGGTGAATCCTCCACGAAACTGCCAAATGCTATTGTTTCCACTGCAAGCGATAATGCAAGATGTAACAGTTTAGATAGAGCTGACTACACTTATGGAGTTAAGTATGAAAGCTTGGAAGAGAAAGAAGAAGAAGAAGAGCAATACCATTCAGCTTCTGGGAGCACTCCAACCAGATATGGATGTGAAACAAGTGAGTGGCTAAGTTTGAGAAAAGGGGTGAGGAAGCTATGCAGGCACCCTGTATTTCAGCTGAGTAAATCAACTAAGAAGAGTAGAAGTTTAGGAGTTGTAACATGTACGTACTAGGAAAGTGCTGACTGCTAAGGAAGGGTTCACATATTGCATAGGCTTTGCTGGGATTTGTGTAAACAGATGTAATGAAACAGATGAGTGTTTGATTTGAACTGGTTGGAATTCGATAAATGTCAAAAGTTTCTGTAACAAGCGAGTGGTTTAGAGCTCTATAGGAAGGAAAACTAGAAACTACATTTACAGCCTTTTTTTCTCTCGTAATTGTGGAATCATTGTTGAACAACTTTCCATTGCATTCAAAAGTTTGAAGTCAGTTGAAGAACAGACTGCTAGAAAACCTTCAGTAGAAGTATGTTCTAAAATCCTACAGATCCTTCGAAAGTTTGTTTACAAAATGGGATAAAAGTGGAACTGATCTCTACCAGTCCACCACTGCCTCTTCAAACTACGTCTGCCTTCTATGACCAAGTATGGAATTCAACTGCATGCCAAGACTCTAACAACACGAATTACCTAGACATTTTGCTTAAACTAAAACTGAGAACTTTGGGTTCTTCGCTCAATCTACTAATATCACCAGAGCATGGAAGTTCTACCGTACGAAGCACCTACTATTAACAGCCACATGTGAATGTGGAAACAGTCGTCAGGCTACGTTACTTAGTTTCCTCTCCATCGCCACCCCGACCAGCAGCTGAGCTCCCCTGACCATCAGCACCTCCCACATCACCAGAGTCCTGCTTGCCACCTCCACGGGCATCGGTTTGCCCGGAACTTCGAACAGGCCCTCCAGCACCAGCACCCCCAAGGGTCCCCTCGGGATGATGTGGGTGATGCATGCCATTGTTGGCCCCTCCCATAGGTCTTAGTCCCATTTGCCCTTGCATTGCTTGCTGGTGTTGCTGGTGTATCTGCTGTTGTGGATCCTGTAATTGATGAGGGTTTCCGAACTGCAATGGAACTTTTGGAGGGAAAAGTCCTGATTGCTGTGCCATTATAGCTGCCTGAGGGTGCTGCATATAATAACCCCCTTGCTGCATTGCAGGATGTGGAGCCATCTGACCATTCTAACACAGGTAAGAACGACGTACAATACAACATCAATTTAGGGGAAGCAGAGGCCTAATTAATTACCAACCTGTGGAGGCATAGCTGGAGCCTGTGGCTGGGCATCAGCAATTGCAGCTAAATACATCAAATTCTTCTGAAGTTGGGCTTGGTACCTAATTACGAGAATTGTATTAACTCAAGTACAAGCTCATGCACACTACAAGTACATGGGGGACGAAATTGAACTCAAGTAAAATACACGTGGGGAAATCGAAAGCCATGTAAGACAAATAGTTTTAGAAAATACAACACTTTAGCAGTCCATATAAACACAAAGGCACATGATTGCATAACAAAGTATGCAAATGATGTAAACCCATCAAAAATTAAAAAAGATTGTACCGTACTTGACTCAAAATATTCACAAATGTACTACCTTATATCAATTCTGAAGCACATATTTGATCTCATTTTAGATAAGAAACGCATACTTGATCAGAACAAAGACCATTTCATTAATATGTGAAATAGATTGCAAAAGAGAGTTCAGTCTGTGAAATGCAAACTCGATCTAGATACCTAACTAAAAAATGCAGCAATAGAAGCAAGATTTATAGTGTAGAAAGCCAGCACCCAGAGACCCCTCAGCTTATGAATTTCAAGATTCATAATCATTACTTTCAAATAACATGCAAGGTAAATGTGAGATCCCACATCGGTTGGAGAGAACGAAACATTCTTTATAAGGGTATGGAAACCTCTCTCTAGCAGACGCGTTTAAAAAACCTTGAGGGAAAGCCCGAAAGGGAAAGCCCAAAGAGGACAATATCTGTTAGCGGTAGGCTTGGGCTATTACAAATGGTATCAGAACCCGACACCGAACGATGTTCTAGCTAGAGACAAAACCCCAAAGGGGAATGGACACGAGACAGTGTGCCAGAAATGACGCTGGGCCTCGAAGGAGGGTGGATTAGAGTCCCACATCGATTGGAGAAGGGAACAAGTGCCAACAAGGAAGCTAGGCCCCGAAGGGAGGTGGATTGTGAGATACCACATCGATTGAGGAGGAGAATAAAACATTCTTTATAAGGGGCTGGAAACATTTCCCTAGCAGAAGTGTTTTAAAAACCTTGAGGGGAAGCCTGGAAGGGAAAGCCCAAAGAGAATAATATCTGCTAGCGGTGGGCTTGAGCCATTACAGTAAATCAACTACTTATATACATGACACAAACCACTTTGAACTATATGTTTTTAGTACCACAGAAAATCAATGCAACAACTTCATGGACTCCATAAACAAAGGTAGAAACGCATATAAAGAGAATCAAAACCATACACAACAACTTACTGAGCACATTCGTTTAGTTTCCCCAGATTTTGGTTGTCAAGTATGGCCAATATCAACTTTTTGTTCTCATCCAGATACTGCACACAGTAAAAAGTATTAGTTGTTGATAACTTTAACTCAAACATGATAACAAGGATCTGATCTTGAGCACTTAACTAAATCCATATTAGTTTATTCAGTTAAATATATTGATTTTAAATTACCTTGTCGTTATCAATTCTCATTTGAAGACATTAATTCATCATGGCACATTTCAATTAAGAAAGAACAATAACCACTTGCCCTAATTAACAAGAGATGAATAATAATACAAGCTCATAGAAAAAGAAGAATGAGTGAACGGACATATGTTCCCCCCATGTTCCTCTAATGAAAAAAAAAAATCAACTACAAACCTAGAGATTCAGATAGTCTGTGAAAAGGGTTAAAAAATAATTATATAATGGTCTCCAACTACTGCAACATCCGTAAAATAATACTCCCATCAAGGGGCCTACTTTACTTGCTTCTTTCCGTCTGTAAACATCCAGTCATTAAAGGAGTCATTCATGTAAGAGCTATTAACTTATGAAGAACAAAAGCAGTTGCATTTCAAAATCACATCCACGGCGATAAACAGAGCTCCATCAAATCAAACACATCATAAATAAGCGTTTAAGATTTAAAGAAGAAAGAGAAAGAGAAGGAGAATGCCTTTTGAATCTGCTCGGAAGTGATATTGGTGGGGGGAAATGAAGGCATCATCGGCATCATTTGCGGTGGTTGCTGCATCTTTAGCTTTCCTGAATATAAACCCTAGCCCTAACTCTCGGAAAAGAAATTTCCAAAGTCAACAGAGATTGAGAAGAGAGGGCGGAGAAACAGAGGAAGATCGAAAGGCAAGAAGAGAGAAAGAACCTGTTAATCGTTCAAAAGGAAGCTCCTTGAGATCGGATTCGAGGGAGAATCTCCGGTACGGCGCTCGGATGTTCAAAGAAAAGGGAAGGACGGGAGGAAGAAGAAAGAAAAATCCCACAAAAACAAATGGGGAAAAGTGTGAATAGGACAAGAAAATTAAATAATAAAATTACAGAAATTATGTCATAATTTCAATTTTGTGCAATTTAAACTTAATTATTATTGCTTGGATTTTAGGGGTTGCTTGTTCCTTTTAATTAATTAACTAATTCATGTTTATTTACCAAAATTAATATATTTAGATATATATTTAATATAAATAGAAGTTTATTAATGGAATGAAATTTAAAATGGTTAGAACAGCTAATAATATTTTAAATCTAATTAACTAATTAACTTGTGTGAGTCAAAAATGTTATATTGGATGATGCATTGTCTTCCTCGATCGCATCATGACACTTGTCTATTTCAACCCTTACTTGACCGGTTGGGCGTGGACGCCACTTCTGTGTTGCCACCTTATCTGTCTATAGCCCATTTTCTTGTATGGTTTTGATACAAGGAAACGTCTACCACCCATCGTGTTAAGTTTAATAAATTACCTATCATATCATCTTTTTAGATTACCACCCATCGCGAGTTGGAACAATAAACTGTCTGCCTTATGAACATTAACTATTTGTTTACCACCTTTTCAAACTAGAACGATAAGCTACTTGTATATACCATGTAATGACCCAAACCCACCGCTAGTAGATATTGTCCCTGTTAGGGGAAGGTTTTCACACCCTTACAAAGGGTGTTATGTTCTCCTCCCCCAACCAACGTGGGACATCACAATCCACCCCCCTTCGGAGCCCAACATTCTTACTGGCACACCGCCTCGTGTCTATCCTCCTTTAGGGAACAGCGAGAAGGCTGACACATCGTCCGATGTCTGGCTTTGATACCATTTGTAACGTCCCAGACCTACCGCTAGCAGATATTGTCTTCTTTGGGATTTCCCTTTCGAACTTTCCCTCAAGGTTTTAAAACGCACCTGGAGAAGATTTTCACACCCTTATAAAAGGGTGTTTTGTTCTCCTCTCCACCCAATGTGGGACATCACTTCTATTGGTTAGTTCATGATTAGGGGTTAGGCTCTAAACGTTCCTACAAAATACTTAAATGTTACGTGGAATCCAATACTAAGTTCTAGAACCATAACAATGTAGATCTAGAGCTCATAATATTAACCCAAATAGCATAAAAATAGGCTTAGCTATCATTTGTCTAATTTCCCCAATTTTAAGCTCATCATCGGCAGCATCTTCAGCTTCCTGTTAAACTTGAGGATGGCTTCAATCTCTTCCCGCTGGCGGGGGCTCTGCAAATCTCGTCGGAACTTCACTTCCAAAACGCATTGAATTCTTCTCTCATTCCTTCTGAGAAATTCTTCGCTATTGCCGATCAAGGGACGGAGTTGTTAAATCTGGCGTCCGATATCTGGAAGCGACTTTTCGCCCCAAGAAGCAGAAGATCTGCTCCGATTGTTCCGATTATCCAATTAAATAATGGAAGTCATCAATTCCTTCAGGTTCCTTGGCTACTTCATGAATGTTGTCCTACTATGCGGTTCTACTATGCGGTACTGATTCTGCTCATTTTGAATTTTCGGGTTACTGAACTTGAATTCCGATTTCATTTTGAGCGATTAACTTTAAACGAGGCCAATCACCTCAGAATTGAAATTTACGAGCAGTTGAACTTTGTCGTGCATAAGTTAGATATGGAGAGTAGTTGTATTCGCCAGGGTAATAGATTGTTTATTGATGTCACATTTAACTCCTTAAAGATGGTTAATATGGTTATTTATTGTTTTGTAAGCTTGCCTGAAGAAGATCGATATAGTCTTTCAAGGTCTCCTATCTTGTGATTTCTTTCCAAGAAGTTTACGATGACTGAAAGTTCAAAATCTTTTATCTTACCATGTTAAGTAAAATAAATTTCTTTCAGATTAACCTACTTGCCCCCTGCTCCCCGTAAGCTTTACACATTCTTGGAGACAACAATGGATACGCTTGTTTTGCTGCCTAGTTTTATCGAAGTTCTTGATGAAGCTAAGAGTCTCTCTAGTTCTCCTGCCAATCTTGTGATCATTTTTTTAGTTCTTGGTAAGAAGCTCAGCTGGTTTGTAGTTTACGTTTCTATAAAATTGAACTTACCCTTTGATTTTCCAATACTTTTATGTGTTTGCACTTTGATCCAGTTCTTAATTTAGCCTTTGCACTCAGTCTTTTTTGGTTCGTAGTTATGCATGCATCTCCCCTGATGAGCAATCCATTATCAATTGAGGTAATGAACTTGAAGTCTTCACTTGCCTTTTATTTGTCTTTAATGTTCTGCTTTAGATTGGATTATCAATTTCCTTTCCTCAAGATTCCTGCTGCTGATTGTTGTCTTAACCTCACTTATTCCTCACATTCACTGTTTTATTAGTCTTTTCCCACAAGTGCAAGATATCCTTTAGTTGGTGGAATTAGAGTACCTGGATTATTTGCCACAGAGAAGATAAAAATCGTTCTTATAATACATTCTTTCAAACGTGCAATTTGACCATTGTAGTCTCAAATTTAAACAAACCATTATAGCAATTCAGTCGTTAATTATTGAGACCTCAATGCCATATTTAGCTCTTAATGAGCTCGTTCACTATTGCATTTTCGGGTTCACGAGAAGAGAAGAGCAGTTCAATGGAAGTATGACCTAGGCAAGAAAAAAAATTATGAGCAGGTAATACATCTTTGCATATGCCATCTTGTCCTATGAATAGGGAGAAGGAAAAAAAAAAAAAAACACTACAATTTTATTCAGGGATAATATTTGAACTCGATGCCTCTGAATGCCTTTATTGCATCTCTCGTGGAAATTTATCTCCCTATGTGGTATTATGACAGAAGCTAGTCTCATGTTTAGATCGTTCCCAGAGTTTATGCTATATTCTTTTTTTAGTCGTTCTGCACTGAGCTGAGGAGTCATTTCCGAACATGCACCAGTTTTTTCACATATAGCCTTTAATAATCTCATGAAATCTTCTTTTTTTGTTCCTCGTAACTATGCTTAAACATGAAAGGCATTGCGTGTACTGATATTCATGTCTTGGGGGAACCCGAGTTATGTAGTTATTTTATGAACACTGATGCTTTTCTTTTTGAGTGATAATAATTTGTCAGAAAAAAATAAATAAAAAGCTAGTAAGCAACTGAATAAGAAAGTTGTGTACAGGTGATTGCAAATTCTTCTTGATTTAAAATTCCTATTCAGATTTCCAAGACCTTATTTCCATAAACATTAAAGAAAAAAACAAAAATTTCTCATGATATAGTAGTGACATGTAAATCTTGGTGAAATGATGACAACTAGGGCAGGCAGGTCCCCTTGAAACCAACTAGAACTTGCCTTAGAGCAGGCAAGTCTCCCTAGAATTGGTGGGGGTGGAGCCCCAATATCTCAGCCCCCATTTGCCCAAAAAGACAATGTAATGTAATCTTGTTCATCATCTAATTTCAGGTGGTCGATCATTATCCAAGGATGAGACTAAAGAAGAAGTTCTGTCCATGGAAGTGCAGAAACAGGAGATGGAAATAGAGATCAAAATGAAGATGGGAGCGATCATCAAAACAAGACTAAAAGGTACCATCCATTGTTGCTTCTGTGATCTATGAAACCGAACCGCCCACCAACCCATCACGAACCCCCCTGATACACTTACCAAAACTAAAACTAGACATGTCCACACATCCTTAAGATCTCTGTTCTTCTGCTTCTTCTGCTCTCTCTCCCCCTTCATCCCAGCTTCAGTGTCTGCTCCCACCTGCAATTCTCTCGTGTGTGACATAGAATAGGAGGAAAAACTCACAAATGATCCATTAGAAGGAGAAGAAGAAGAAGATAGATCGGAGAGAAAACCCAATTAGCTTAGGAAAAAGACCTGTGCAGTTCTTGAAGATATTAGAGAGAAAATAGAATAAGAAAGTCGCATTGAGTATAACGTCACGCGTGGCTTCCCAAAGTTGGTTTTGTCAATTTGAAGGAATGTAAATCTAAATAAAAGAAGGATTGGCATTCATTGGCTGGGATCGATAATTGCGTAGCTTCTATCTGGGGTAGAGTTTGATTGATTTATTGCCTTAGATGACATTTAGTGCCGCGACACCCACCTGGCCACAATTCCTTTGTTTCTTCATTTTCATAACCTCTTTCATTATTGTTTCTTTCTTCTCTCCTCCCTTCTCATGCAAAACCAACTACAGCTTCTATTCAGAACATTGATCTTTAAAGTATACTCATAAATGAGCCTTTACAAAAGAGGTCTACTCATCATTAATGAAACTAAATGTAACAGCCCAAACTCACCGCTGAAACTAAATGTAACAGCCCAAACTCACCGCTAATATTGTTCGTTTTGACCTGTTACGTATCGTCTCAACCTCACAGTTTTAAGCGTGTCTACTAGAGAGAGGTTTCCACACCCTTATTAGAAATGTTTCATTCCCTTTTCCGATGTGGAATCTCACAATCCACCCCTCTTGGGAGTCTAGCATCCTCGTTAGCACTCCGCTCAGTGTCTGACTCTGATACCATTTGTAACAGCCCAAACTCACTGCTAGTAAATATTGTCTACTTTGGCCTATTACGTATCGTCGTCAGCCTCATGATTTTAAACGCATCTACTAGATAGAGAGAGGTTTCCATATCCTTATAAGGAATGTTTCGCTCTCCTCTCCAAGCAACGTTGGATCTCACACTAAACCTACATCATTATATGTGAAATACACTTTTAGGCTATGACTTTTGAACTTGACAATCAGATTTGAATTTAGTTTCGTTACTTTTTTTAATAACCTATTTAGTTACCAATGTTCATCAGAAACTTTTATATTAGATTGGGGGAAATAGGAGGATTTAATTCAGGAAGTTGATGAAGAAAATAGTAATAGCAGGCTGTTTTAAATTATATATGAAACTCTGTCAAATACATCTGCATAAAAACACATTCATTGCAACTCAGCCATCCCTGGATTGTTAAATAAGTTAACAGCCACTTGGTTTTTACTAATATTTAGAAAAGGAAACAGCCCTACTTTTCCCAAAAAGCCCCCTTTGAGAGAGTCTGAGACACCCAATTAAAACTTGAACAAGGAAAGCCTAAAACACATCCAGACAAGACTGTCCCTTTATGCAGGCATGGAGAAGAACTGATGACAGCTCCTTTATTATACCAAATAAACTTACTAGCCGTGGTAATACAATAATGTTGTGAATGACACAACTGGGTTAGGTTGTTAGTATTATAATATTCCGAAGCTAAGCCTGCAGTTAAGTATGATTATAATCAATCATATTTTACTACTTCAATTGAATTTGAGTTAAGAAATTGGCCCGTTTCCTTCCCGTTTGACATAGTCAAATATAAGATTAGTTTAGTTCCAGAGGCAACCTGTACGACTTAACTAGTTAAAACATATGTCTAAACCAAGAAATTAAAGGTTTGAATCCCTTTATTCTGAAGTCATTTTAGCTCGGGTTGAAACTCAAATTTGATTCGGGTAGATTTTCATTTCATTTGAATAGATTTTTGGATCACATGGTGTGATAATGGAGCTGCCCAAGTAGAACTGTGATCTATGGAAGTGCAGAAAGTAAAGATAAGAACAGACATCATAACAAATATGGGTGCAATCATGAAAACAATGTCTATTTGTTGAATGAAACTGAAACTCCCACCAACCGAACACAAGCCTTCCCCATCATGCTTGCCACTGCCATTGAACCCTAAGTAGCCTTCACAGAATATGCAGATTCTCATTCTCTTCCCTTTCTCCTTCCTTCATTGCTGATTCAGCTTCTTCTCCGCCCCTGCAAATCTCCATGTTTGATCCATCACAAAAAGCTCTTCGGAAGAACATATGACTGAAAGAAAACACTGAGAGATTGGGAGAGAAATATTACTGTAGAGGGTTGAAGGATTTGGCAAGTAATTGTTGACAAAATAGGATACAAACCCGAACATTTTAGGTTAAAAGATCATCATTAGCCCAATAAAATCAAACCGAAAGCTCAATTATGTAGAAGACTGATTAGCTAACTCAATGAGCCCATTATCGAGAAGTTTCTAGATATCTAGATATTTTAAGAATATTCTAGAATAAGACCAATGTGCGGTTTACATTGTATAGCATCTACTATAGATACTCATCTACCTCTCCCAAGTTTTGTAGTAGTGTCTCAAAGAGTGTCTAGTAATCTTTTCTTGATTGGTTAAGAGTGTTTAAGAGTGTAGTTGTATTTAGCCACGAACACTTATTTAAAATTTAAAAGGCTAAGATGATAATTACGAATGTTTTTTTTGTTTATGAATTATATTAAAAAAAAAAATTCTTCCACGAAATGCTCGGGAATCTCAACATCCATATTAAAACATCTTTTGTCTCTCGTAATGGACATAAGACGATGTTTGGATATGTATAAATTGAGTTTTTAATTTATTGAAATAAAAAAAAATATTAAACAAAATAAAATTGCAATATCCCATTATAAGGTTTAAATTTCACTGAAGTCCATGAAACGACAACTTGTATGCCAATCATCATCTTGGTGTATATATATATGTGTGTATTACAAACGTTTAAAATATAGTTTTTCTATAAATCTTAAAATTACGCTTTATGCTTTATTATTAGTTTGAAATTAATTTTCTTTTATTAAATTTGATCAAGTAAATATAATATGAATATCTTTTCAAAATTTATAAAGCCTAACGCTAATAAACTAAAATTATATTTTAACAAGCAATATAATTAGTAGTAAGCAAATTACATAATAGATAATTAGCATAAAATTAAGTGGAAGTTTCTTGAAAATTATTTTTCCTATGAAGTAAAAAAAAAAAAATTTACAAAATATTTTGCCAATATTTCTTGAAAATATTTTCCAACATCCTCACTTTAAATTTTAAATTAGGACCCATTCAACATTTTTTGATTAATACATTGATTTGTAAACATAGAATTTAATTCGAGCTGGAATAGATTTATTATTTTCATACATTTATTATATACCAAATTAAAAGTTATTGGACTTATTCTTCTTCCAAAGAATGAATCTAAGGTCAAAAGAGAATTTTTTCCCATGATTTATACAAGGATAGAGAACATATTCCTTTGTCCTCGTATCTATATGTGTCTGTATATATTAGGGATGTTCATATAGCTATATAGAATTTCTAAACTGAGAATTTCGAGGATTTCTTAAGAGAATTTGATTGTTGTATGGAATTAACCCAAGGGAAAGTATGAAACATATTACCTTGATGATCAAGATCAAAAGTAAAGAAAACTCGTTTCTAAACTCGTGATTCGAATCACTCCACAAGAGGTTTGATCAATACCACTTGAATGACTCTAGCATGCAAATTCTAAACCTAAGAATTTGCAGAATTTGCCTCTTAACAAAGCTAAAAAAAATAGAAATTATATATTTTTTTTAATTCCAAAACGTGATGTCTCTTATCAAAGAAAAGGAGGCTTTATATAGCCTTTACAACATGAATGTATATGACAGATAACTCCCAAATTAAATTGACTAGTAAATAAGAAATACCCTAACATCCCTCTTGAAATGGCTCGTTAATGGTGGAATATGGTAATCTAGGTAGGTTACACTATAACCTTAACAAAAACAAACAAATATTTAAATTGTAATTAAACATTGCAATAAATGAAATGGGCTGATTAGTCCTCATTTTACTAGTTTCATAAATTTAGCTGAGTTCATTAAATACAATTTAAATGCATTTAATGCATATATTTCTTGAAGCTCAACTTTGCACAATATATAAGGGAGGTCTTTAACGTTTTCTAGAATTTTCTTCAATAAGCTCACCGAATATAAATGTACCAAATTTGTTGTAGCTTCCTGGCTCTCCTCTTTAATGGGTCCTTCAAGTACGAAAATTCATTGGTGTGGTTTATATCAAATCTCTACCATGATCCTGAAATGATGAAAACTTTGAGGAGGATAAGAAAGAATGGGTGGCAGGGGTAGAAAGAAGGGGTTCATCCTGACTGGATAAGAACATGAATTGGACAAGGTTTTGATTCTTGTTGAATAAACTTGGACCATTGGACTTGACCAAGCGTTGAAAGCATGCATTGTTTTCTGTTGGGTAATTCTTCAAATGAATACAACACAATTGTCCGTTTGTAAATGATTACAAAAACAAACAATGAACAAATTGATGGCGAAGATCTGGACATTAGACATGAAAGAAGCTCAACCGCGAAGCATCCTCTCCTACGCTCCAAAATTCCAATGGCAACGGGTGAGCCTCTGTTCCTTATCCTATAGGGGCTTCCTTCTCTTGCCGCGTCTGTTTCGCCACATTTCCAAATTCCACCCTTCCTTTTCTGTAATCAAAACAAACCAATTTGTTGAGCTTTTCCCATTTCCTTCGTTGCTACACTAAGATCTTCAACCCTAAGGGTTCATCAAATTTTGGGGTGTTTCTGTTTTATTCCTTTTGTGGATCTCTGGTGGAGAATGAGCGTGAAAACCCCGGCGACGAGGACTCGCGTTGGCAAGTACGAGCTCGGTAAAACCCTTGGCGAGGGCTCTTTTGCGAAGGTCAAGTTCGCCAAGAACATTGAGAATGGTGATTGTGTCGCCATCAAGATTCTTGATCGTGAACAAGTCCTTCGACACAAGATGGTCGAACAGGTAAACTGGTTTTCTTCGTTTTCTGGGATTTTTTTCTTTTGTTATTTGTTGTTAATCTAGATTTGTTGGCAGATTAAAAGAGAGATATCGACTCTGAAAGTGATTAAGCATCCAAATGTTGTTCAGATATATGAGGTACAATGTTCAATCTTCCCTGATTCTGTTTCCTTGTGAGGGAATAGGTTGAAAGTAGACTGATCACCTATCTTTGATTTAAATCCCATAAGTTTTTCGAGGAACGAAATGTAGTAAGGTTAGACCGTTGTCTCATAGATTTTAGTCGAGATACATGCAAGTCGGCTCGATAATATATGAGATTGTAGTAGTATAATCATTATGATGAACGATTCCTTTTCTACCAATTCACTAAGCCATTGAAGTAAGGATAAAGCTAATTTGAGAAGGTTCTTGGGATGCATGTGTTTTAATTCTTCTGTTCTTGTTGATAGGTTATGGCAAGCAAATCGAAAATCTACATTGTTCTTGAGTTTGTAGAGGGAGGCGAGCTCTTTGACAAAATTGTAAGACATTGTTTATCAGATTCATATTTGCATTTTAAATCTGTTCTGTCTTGTTTCTTATCTAATTTACATGTATAATAATCTCTCCTAGCCAAAGAGAAGGCTTAAAGAGGATCATATTTCTATTTATAGGCTACAAAGGGAAGGCTTAAAGAGGACGAGGCAAGGAAATATTTCCATCAACTTATTAATGCTGTAGATTACTGCCATAGTAGAGGCGTGTACCATCGAGATTTGAAGGTTTTAAAAAGATTTTCGAATTTCCTCGAAACTTTACTTAGTGTTTGCAATTAGATCAGTGGGGTTTAGTTTACTGCACTGTCTGCTTCTGCAGCCTGAAAATCTTCTTCTCGACTCGCATGGTGTTCTTAAAGTATCAGATTTCGGATTGAGTGCATTCTCGCAGCAAGTTCATGTGAGTATTACTCGTATTCTGGCAGAGATTCTTTCATGATTGATTTTGTCCAGTGTTCTTCCTTCATTTTGTTGTTCTCCAATTGCTTATAAAACTTCTCATTCGAACTTTGGTTTCCTTATCTTAGTGTTGGTTAGGAGATGGTTGAAGCTTCTTCCGTTGAATCTTTCTTTGACAAAAATATTGTAGTACATAGATCGAGATTGCTGCTTTCTTTTCGTATCGGATTTCTGTCCTTTAGGTGTCTGTTTCATATAATATCAAGGGATCACCAACACTATTATTGCAGGGGGATGGTCTTCTTCACACTGCCTGTGGGACTCCAAACTATGTAGCGCCCGAGGTGCGCATACATACTTCTTACTTCCTTTTTTTCAGTGGGAGGATTTTTGTATTTCGATATTCGAGTAAAGATGGTTAATCACAAACCACCTTGAGTTAGCAATGGCCGAGTTAAAATGCTTAGAATGAATGAGTTCTAGTCACGAATGCTTAGAATGAATGAGTTACCTTCACCACTAAATGTAGTAGAGTCAGATTGTTGTCTTGTAAGAATAGTTGAGGTATATAACTAAAATAAAATAACGATTGTTCGTTATACTTCTGCAAAATGTGCGCTAAGTTTTTGCCTTTGATTTTGATATACTATATCAGGTCTTCCATGATAAAGGTTATGATGGTCAATCATCTGATGTTTGGTCATGTGGGGTTATTCTCTTCGTTCTTATGGCTGGCTTCTTGCCTTTCAGCGAGTCAAATCTAACGCATTTGTATCGAAAAGTTAGTTTTTATCTTGTTTTGTTTTTACTATTTATACAGACTGGGACTGTTCTCAAATTATATTTGATATGAATTTCAGATTTCCAGGGCTGATTTCTGCTTTCCGTCGTGGTTCTCAAATGGTGCTAGAAAACTAGTTCGTCGCATTCTCGATCCAAACCCTCTTACTGTAAGTTTATAACTCCTATTTTGATTTACTCTCTTGAAGTTTGATCCTCCGTAAAGTCTCAAAAATTTTCTTTTCGTTCTGTTACTTCAGCGAATAACGATAGCCGAAATTCAACAAGATGAATGGTTCAAGAAGGGCTACACACCCACCCACTTTGAAGTGGAAGAGGATATAACTCTCGATGATGTCGATGCTGCTTTTAGCAGCTCGAGGGTGAGGATTTTATCACAAAACAGAGGCTTTGAGCCAGAGATTAATGTGATGGAAATGAGAGGAAAGATGAAGTTCCCTATTAAGTTGTTTTGTTAATTTTTTTTATAAAAATTCCAGGAACATCTTTTGACCGAAAAGAAAGAGAAACCGGTGTCGATGAATGCTTTTGAGCTTATCTCTAGGTCTCCGGGTTTCAGTCTTGAAAATCTATTTGAGAAGCAGAAGGTACTTATTCAGTTGTATTGTAATAATTCTGTATATTTAGTTAATTGATATCACATGGATCAAGTTAAATATTTTCAGGCTGTTGCAAAGAGAGAAACCCAGTTTACTTCACAGAGCCCTGCAAACGAGATCATGTCGAAGATCGAAGAAACTGCAAAACCTATGGGGTTCAATATTAAAAAACGGGACTACAAGGTAACCATTTATTGACAGCTTGTGAAAGATATCTTTGTTTCTGAGATGAGTTTTGTTAGAACTCTTGTAACGAGATATGATATCACTGCAGATGAAGCTGCAAGGTGACAAGACTGGGAGGAAAGGACACCTCTCCATAGCTACTGAGGTAAAAACATTATTCCTGGCTAACATTATTAATTAGTTTCGTATTCTCATGTACCGAACTCGTTTCAATGCCTTTGTCAAAAGCATGCATCTAGAGACTTTTAATTCTGAATAAATATATGTGAGATTCTACGTCGATTGGAGAGGAGAATGAGTGCCAGCAAGGACGCTGAGCCTCAAAAGGGGTGGATTGTGAGATCCTATATTGGTTGGAGAGAGGTTACTGAACATTCTTTATAAGGGTGTGGAAACGTCTCTCTAGCATAGGACACTATCTATTGGCGGTGGGATATAACTTGGCTTCACCGTCATCAGCCACCATCTGTGATTAGAATGAAAAAGGATTGAAACTATTTACTCGGTTCACAAATTTCCCTCAAATAGCTTCATTTGAAGTTCAATGGCTTTCTTTCAACATCTGAGGCCAAATATCTTTGCCCTTTGCCCTTTGAACTCCAGGTGTTCGAGGTGGCTCCTTCCTTGCATATGGTGGAGCTCCGAAAAACTGGTGGCGATACGCTCGAGTTTATCAAGGCATGTTACCAGTATTCTTATTGAAACTCAGAACTAAATTCATTATTTCAGAGCTAAATTGTACAATCTCATATACTAACGTGCTTTTGCATTTCCATACGACAGTTCTACAAAAGCTTCTCATCAGGATTAAAAGATATAATGTGGAGAACTGATGGAAATACTGTAGAAGGGAGCTAATATCTCTCTCGCTATCCTCTTCATAATGCTGTTATGAAGTTGATACCTGAGATGCTTTGCAGGTATCACATCGAAACTCGTCATCAATTACAAACGTTAAAAATATAATCCTAAGAAAATCTCTACTTTTTCCCCCTAAGAAATCAATAAACACAGAGTAATTGCACAAATAGTTAACGTTTCTGAAATAAGAAAAGTGAGCTGATTCAAGTGCACTTTTGTTTTGTTTAACCAGAAATTGCATCGGAGAGGAACATGATATCAAAATCTCATATCTATGGCATGGTTACCCATTAGACAGGAAAAAAAAAAAAAAAAAATAGAGATTTTCTGAAGCATTTGATTCTACTTCGTTCTCTATTTTCAGTTAACAATATCAATAATATGTTGATGCAAGTCATCTGTTATACTCATAGAATATGTATGATGTTTCATCATGGAACATATCAATAGAAAAATTAATTAGAAGAGTAATTGAATGAGCACGTAATGTTGTAAGATGGCTAAGAGAATGTCATTTTGTTGATCTGTATGAGCTTATGGTGCTTTTGGAGAGAGCTATTTTTATATGACTCCAAGTATACTTTATTTCTATATTTTAGGGTTTAGGGTACATTCAAATGAAATCTTCAATTACTGGAACAAGTTGTATAAAAATATCAAACTGCACTAATTTCAACAATGTACAAATAACTTCAACTTAATTAAAGAACTGTTTGTGAAGAGAAAGCAGTAAAAGAAAGTGATATAGAAAGGTTGTAAAGAACAGCAGTGAATTCAAGTCCACGATCGATCATTCATCGAAGGGGGAAGGCAAGGTTGTCGGGCTTAGCTTCATTTTCTATGTCTGCACGTTCTTTTCCAGCAAGGGCTACTAGGTAGAACTATCATTATTTGTGAGATCTCATATCAGTTGGAGAGGAGAACGAAATATTCTTTATAAGGGTGTGGAAACCTCTCCCTAGGAGACATGTTTTAAGAACTTTAGAGGGATGTCTGGAAGGGAAAAATCAAAGAAGACAATATCTGCTACCGGCGAGCTTGGGCTGTTACAAATACTAAACAGTCAAACATCGGGCGATGTGCCAGCAAGGAGGTTGAGCCCTGAAGGGGGGTGAACACGAAGCGGTGTGCCAACAAGGACGTTGGGCCCCTAAGAGGTATGGATTGGGGGGTCTCATATCAATTGGAGAAGGGAACAAGTGCCCGCATCCTCGCTGGACTCTGAATGCAACTTAAACTGCACAGAATTGCTAAGAAACTTAGCTCTAAGCTGAAAGAAAAGTAATATGTTCTTTTACTATATTTTACAAGTCTATTTTACAAAAACAACGTCCCAACTTTATATAGTCTCAAAATGAAAGTTTTGACCTTCCATGATGTATTTCAAGAAACATTCATACTTTATGAACATAATTAGTTGTTATGTAAATGTAACCGAAAAAGTAAATAAAAAGTCTTACACTAATGAAACACTACTAAAAAAATTATTCTATGTAGCAATCCTTACATTTCCTACTATTGGTGGGATGACAAAAAAAATTATTCTATGTAGCAATCCTTACATTTCCTACTATTGGTGGGATGACAGCTAGTTTTAGTATGTTGGGGTATATCATTATTGCCGTACCTAATGCCTACATCTCACATTTGCGGGTAAAAGAGTAATTGAACAAACATTGAATACGACAGTCCCTGAGGGTTCATAGGTAGCTGAATATTTATTCGATAAGGGCTTATTCAATCTAATCGTACCATGTAATCCTTTAAAAAATGTTTTGAGTTAGTTATTTCAGCTCCACTCTTTCGTTCCCTCGAATCAAAATTCAATCAAGTAAAGCCTTACTTAAAACTTCAAAAATGAATTATTTTTTTTGTGATGAAAGTAGTTATTTAGTTTATAGGAATCAAAGTAAAAATTCGAAGAATGGATTTTTCTTTGGTAACATAAGATTAAATTGTAGAAAGAATCATGTCGAGAAATTTTTTTTTTACCGATATTCCTGATTAGTAATTAGGAAACCCCTATTGAACAAAATAAAAGAGCAAATTATTTCTTCCGCAAAATTTGGTGGGAATAAAATGAATTTTATGCTCCCTTCTTACATTACATATGGATATATTATCCAACTATAGCAAATAGCGGCATAGAGTCTTGCATCTTTCTACATCTCTAGAGGATCTCTAGTTTTACTATGAATCCCTGTTGTTGGATCGGATTATAACGAACTTTTGGGTACTTTGTACGAAAATCTTAATGAAATTTTATTCAAAAAAAATTATAAGACAAGATAATAAATAAAATAATACAAAAGTCTATTATGATACATATATTTCATCTTTATGATACATATATTTCATGTCGAAAGATGAGTAAGTCCATTTATTTAATTCGACATTCCTCATTCCTTTTCTATATATACTCAAGTAGATATTACTTAGTATAATTATATATGGGGGTGTACATTCAACCTGACAACCCGGACTAATCCAACCCGAACTATAAGGGTTAGGTTGGGTTAGATTAGCATTTCGATAAGGATTGGGTTCATTTTTTTGAACCCGAACTGAATCGGTTCGTGGGTAAAACTTTCGGGTTGATCCGAGCCAAATTCAAATATATAAAATATATTAAAAATTCTTATTTACAATAGATTTGCTAGAGTGGTACTTTGGTCGGTCGAGATTTATTTAAAGAATTCTATACATTGTTAAATTATGTTCTAACAAGCAATTCTAAAAATGCTGTAAATGTAAATTTTAGTTTAAATATATTCAAAGAATTCTATATATTGCTAACAAGTAATTCTAAATTTTAGTTTAAATATATTTAAAGATAAATCAATAATTTTATAGTTGAATGTTCACCAATTTTGTTCTAATATATTTATTTTCTATTTGTTAGAACGTTATTATATTTCTAAATTCTAGTTTAAATATATTTAAAAATTATGTTCTAACGAGTAATTCTAAATTTTAGTTTAAATATATTTAAAGATAAACTAATAATTTTATACCTTCTTAGTTGAATGTTCACAAATTTTATTCTAATATATTTATTTTCTATTTGTTGTTTATTATATTTCTAAATTCTAGTTTAAATATATTTAAATATATACCCGTAATTCTAAATTCTAATGTATTTATTTTCTATGTGTAGTAACATTATTATATCATAATTTATATATATTATTTTTCTAATAGGTTAGAGCTATCCATCTTTATCAAATCACGTATAAGTAAACATATTTCAACTAAAATATTTTTATATGTTTCTTTTGTTATATACAATATCTCTAAACTAATCATTTTTACTGTTTATTTAATTTCATGATATATCCTTATATTTTTCTATTTTAACCCATTTTCAAGAAATGTCCGACATTCTTTAGTTTTATGACATGTTGAACTATCTTAATATGTCACAATTTTCACTCGAACTATGTTAATATGTTACAATTTTCGCTCATTGTTTTTTATTGAATAATTATGGATTGATTTGTATTTATTTGTAAATTTTTAATATATTATATATAAGATTGTATCCGAATAATTATAAATTGGAGATAAATAAAACTTTTAAAAAAAAATTAACAACCCAACCCGGACCCAACTCGAACCCAACCCGAAAATAGAGGGTTGGGTTGGGTCGGGTTATGAAAAGTTTCAGGTTGGGTTGGGTTGGGTTATGAAAAGTTTCAGATTGGGTTGGGTTACCAATCCAACCAACCCGAACTTTTGGGTTGGGTCAAAAAAATCGCTCAACCCAACCCAACCCGGACCATGTACACCCCTAATTATATATGAATTAGTATAATTATAAGATACCTTTTATAACAATCAATAAATAACAGGTAAAAATATTAATATAACAATAAATAACAGGTACAAATATAAAGTCGAGGTATCCATTCTAATGACAAACTTACCCTCTATTTTTGTGCCTTTAGTAGGTCTAGTATTTTCGGCAATTGCAATGGCTTCTTTATCTCTTCGTGTTCAAAAAAACAAGATTTTTTAATATGTGAGTGCCGTCTATTTTTTTCTTCAAAACTTGGACTTTGACGATTACACAACTATCTATTTAGTAGACTAGAGTCTAACATGAGGCTGACTCCAAACATAAGCGATTATACATGCGTAAACATGATATCGGAGGAAATGAATTATAAGTATTTGAAAATCGAAAATATATAACAGATCGGGCGACGAATAGTTGAGATGTAAAATCAATATCTCTAGATGGATGTAGGTATCTATAGGGAATCATATAAAGGTGATGTTATTATTTTAGATCTAAGTAATTCAATGAATTACTCCTAAAGTAAAGGTTCACATCAAAATAGTGCTAGTTGATTAGAGTTACTTCGGAAACAAAAAAACGTCAAATATATTTTTGTTATTCTATCAATTCCAATAAAATGCAACGAGATCTAGTATGAGTTGACGATCAGAACCTATATGGATAGAATTTTTAAGAGGATCTCGAAAAATCAACAATTTCTGCCGGACCTTTATCCTTCTTTTAGGTTCATTAGGGTTTTTGTTGGTTGGAACTTCCTGCTATCTTGGTAAGGATTTGATATCTTTATTTCCGTCTCACCAAATAATATTTTTTCCACAGGGGATCGTAATGTCTTTCTATGGGATTGCAGGTCTCTTTATTAGCTCCTATTTGTGGTGCACAATTTTGTGGAATGTAGGTAGCGGTTATGATTGATTCGATAGAAAAGAAGGAATAGTGTCTATTTTTCGTTGGGGGTTTCCTGGAAAAAATTGTCGAATCTTCCTCCGATTCCTTAGGAAAGACATTTAGTCCATCGGACTAGAAGTTAAAGAGGGTATTTATGCAGGTCGTGTCCTTTATATGAAAATCAGAGGCCAAGGGGCCATTCCCTTGACTCATACCGATCAGAACCTGACCCCACGAGAAATTGAGCAAAAAGCTACCGAATTGGCCTATTTCTTGCATGTACCAATTGAAGTTTTTTGAAAAATGAAGTTCAGAATGAATGCTTTCTTAGTTCGTAGCAAGAGGGATAAAACTGAAAAGAAAGAATAGTCTTTATAGACCATAGTAATAGTATAACTTAGCGGGGATTTCTTCAGAATGCTCATTTGAGCCAAAGCAGACGTATATGGAACAGACAGAAGACAGTCTTTATCCGAAATTTTTATGCGTATGTAAATCAACTTCACAGTAACAGTGGATTCTTTGATATTTTCTTTCTGTATTATTTCGAAATTCAAGGATTAACTAATGAATCACAAATCAAAAACTAAAAAAAAAAAAAAAAGATTCATATTAGTATCCATATGATTTGTAATAGAACTTATGTTTGATATAGATATTAGTAGTGTAGAGAGGTAACGAATGAAGTGAGTTCATTAAAAAATCAAAGACGAAAAAATGGCAAAAAAGAAAGCCTTCATTCCCCTTCAATATCTTGCATCTATAGTATTTTTGCCCGGGTGGATTTCTCTTTTATTTAATAAAAGCCTAAAATCTTGGGTTACCGAGTATTATAAAAAAAGGGACGAAATGTTAAAAGGAATATCTAAAAACACCTAAAAAGTAAATAAAAAGTCTTACACTAACGAAACACTACTAAAAATCTAAACTTTAATCATCAACAAAAAAAAATTTGTAACCATCCAAAAATATATGAAGCCCCCGTTGAAGTAACTTGTATCCGTTGTTGTATAAATGAAACTTGATTATTGAATGTTACCATAATTGCAATTGAAATGATGTGTTAGGTTCATATTATGCCTGGTTTTGTTTTGGAAATTAGGGAGTCAATTTGATTCCTCTCCATTGATCTCTCAAACTTTATTTTCTGTTCTTGTCTTGGAGAATTTCAAGGTCCGAGCAATAATATTACGAGGCTGCATCAATCTGAATTACCTTGTTCTATCAAATGGTTCAACCCGAGTTGTAGAGGGGCAGGAAATGGAATTGTTTTACCGAGTTGCACGCTTATTATAGTTAAGGTTCACAAGATTTTACGTGATCTTTAGGTTCTATATTTCAAACTTTTGCAAATAATTTATTGGACAAGATCCTCATATAATCTTTCCTCTTTTTCTCGCAGTTTTGAACTTGTTTCATGAATATTATCTCTTTCCTTGCTAACTTTCTTAATTGTTCTGCAAGTTTGGTAATTAACTACTCTGCGTTGGCCATATGGCTTGTTCATCTAGAATTTCATTCCTGAATAGCATTCTGTTAAGCATGAATTGATCAGAGCCAACAGGCACCATCTGATATGTCAATTTGGATGGAAATCATGCACAAGGTACACAATTTTCATTTCCATTCGATTCTCTGTTGGCTCCTTGTAAATTTGTAGTTGTAGGTTTAGGCACCACGGCAGGATGGCATGCACCGTCCCCAAAATTATGGGTCAACATCGGAGTATGAGTCTTGTTTGATCATCAATCGTGCAAACCTGTCAATGGTAGTTGGTGTATGAAGCTGGAGGAAGAAGAAGATGTTGATTTGAGGTAAGTCTACTGTCATATACAGGTTTGGACCACCATCCTTGATGACATGTGCTGTAGTAGCTAGATTATAGATTATTGTCAAAAGGGTAACACATCTTATCTTCATGTGATAGCGATAGTAAAGCTTATTTTAGGGAGAAAAATGTTGAGGATTGTTGGTCCTACCTCGGCTAATTAAGGGAAAAAATCTTAGGTATATAAGTATGAGACACTCTCTGTTGGTATGAAATCTCTGGGGAAAACTAAAAGAAAAGTCAGGAGAACTTAGGCTCAAGGTGGACAATATGATACCATGGTGAACTCTTGCCTGTAAAGGTTCGTTTTTTGATTTGCATGAGTGAATAACTTTGGTAACTTATTCAACATGTCTACTATTTTGAAAACTTGACTAAAAATGAAGCCAGAAATAAAATTTCATGAGATGAAATTCACTATTTCTCGTAGAGAAAGTGGAAGAGTAGTTAGTTCTCTTTTAAGTAATAATTTTGGGACTTGACCAATGAACCTCACTCTCTCGTTAATGCGAAAGAAACTTAATTCACTGTTAGATCATACACAAATTGTAAGATGTAATTATAGAGATCAAATAAACTTTTAAACTTTTGATTCAACTACAATTATGACTAATTTGTGATGGACATGTAATGCTTATATCAATGGATACAACTTGTCCTACCACACATGAAAGTGCAACTCTAGATTTATAGTGGAGTGACTTGTGCTTAATGAATAAAATCTAATTAAAGAGGGGTGGAATTGCACACTTTTGTGTTCAGAGCATTGTCTGAGTGAATAGGCAGAGCATACCATGCAAAGCTTGATTTCAGAGGCTGAGCTGGTTCCTTTTCTAGCCTCAACAATTTTATTTAGATGCAGGGGCAAGTCCCAGGAAAGTCTAGGTTGGCTTCCAGCTCCATCTCGATCGGCATCCTGCTTTCGAGGGAGTGGAGTCTTGGAGGCTGTGTTGCCCCAACCCAAGGAAGAGCTTTTGATGAGGAGAATTGTTTTGAGGGAGGGAAAGCGTAGTTGACAAGTCACTTCGAGGAGGTGACTGGTCTGGAGTGCTTTCATCAAATGATAAGGTCACCTTGCCATAGATGTGGTGCATGTCACACTAACTCTTATACATTAGGTATCTTGACGAAAGGTAGTGTAACAAGGATTTTAAGAATTAAGAATAACTTACATTTTTTGTTTGAATCCCTCACGATTCTTGTTGACTCATTTTCAAATAGGCCAAAAGAGGTGAAGATAGGACTAGACCATGATCATAGAGACCAAGGACACTGTGGCTGTGTACCCATATTTGGTCGACTAGGGAACTTAGACATCGACCCAAGCTTTCCTTCTCTCTTTTGTTTAGCGGTCGAGCTTCCTCATCTCTTATGATATTAGATGATAGATAGGAGTGCATTTTTATAATAATAAATGATATTTAATGATTTTAATGTCATAATTTTTATACTATTATGATATTAATTAATGGATTTTTGAAAGGTTTAATTATTTCTCATAAATTATTAATTTATTAATAGTTTCAATAAATATACAATAAAATTAATTAATGTATTTATTTCATCAAGTTAGACTTGAGATTCATTAAATGTGGCCATTTCTACTGTATTCAATTTTCACTAATTTTAACTTAATTTAAGAAGGTCAAACATCCAATTTTAAAAATGAAAAAACATATATATTTTATTTTATTTTATTTTATTTTATTATGGTTTTTTTAATAATTTATCATAATCATATAAAATTGGTAAGATAATTCATTTAAAATTATTTACTTTCAATTTGATTATTGCACTAAATATTTATAATTAAAAGTTTATATAATTTTATTAAAATTATTGCATTTGCTATTTTGTTATTCTATTTTAGATTTATTTAATATTTATTAATTTGATTTTAGTTTCTTTTTAAAATTGGTTGGTTATAAGCTAGAGTCCTTTTATTTAAAACCGGTAATGAAATATGGTCATTTATCTAATTACTTCCTTACGCCCAAATTAGTCTAGTTAGGTTAATTGCTTTAATTACGCCCAAATTAGTCTAGTCTAGTTAGGCCAATTAATTACTTATTTTATTAACTATATTTAATTGCTTTGAATTTTGTTTCATATACTTTAGCTTAGTTAGGCCAATTAATTACTTATTAACTGGATTTAATTGCTTTAAATTTTGTTTCGTACAGTTTATTTTAGTTCTCTTAATATTTCCCTATCAACAAATCTAAGTAGCTTTAATAAATGAGTTCAAGGTAGGGTGACTGTTCACATGTAGTAATAGGATGCACACAAGCTGGTCCGAACAGATATGAAAATAAGACTGTGGCCAATGTGAAGTAAAATAAACCGTGTTTCCTTTATATTTTGTGATTATTTTAGTTAGTTTCTTCGGCATGCTTATTATTATAATTCTTCTCCTAACGTTGCATTGCTAACTCGCTAAGTTATTAACAAAGTATTTTAACATCGGGCTAATTATAATCCTGAAAAGTTTAGAGATTAAAATAGATTATTAAGGACCTAAATATGTTAATACCATTAACAAATATTAACTAATATTATAAGTAATCCTTGATAAAGAAATGCCTGTATATAGAAATTTATGAAGGGGAAAACTAAAAGAAATGTGAGCGTAGACATGAGGTGGGAGAGTCATGAAGAGAATAAAAGCATGAAAAGAAACAAGGAGTGCATAATCTAAAAGAGAAATAAGAGGCATGGGCAGTACATCAACAGAGCCCACATCGATTGGAGGGTAGAATGAAGTATTCTTTGTAACGGTGTAGAGAATTGGAGGGTAGAACGAAGTATTCTTTATAACGGTGTAGAAACCTCTCTCCAGCCGACACATTTTAAAATCTTGAGATGAAGCCAAAAGAAAAAATCCAAAGAAGACAATATAGCTTATATGAAATCAGCAAGGAAAAGGTCTAATGCCAAATGATAAGGAATCAGTATAAGAGGAGTAAGATTCGGATTACCTTGTTGATCGAATCACTCCACAAAAAAGATCGATCATGTCTAGCTTGAATGATTCTTGTCGATCAAGTATCTCAAGGCAAGAACACCTATTTGAGATTCGAATCACTCCATAGGTATGATTGATTATATCAAGCTTAAATAATTATGCATGTAACCTAAACTACATAGAATTTAGAATTGCTAGCCATAGACTAAAGATAGCACAAATGCTCATTTTACTACATTTTCCAAGTCTACTTATAAATACAACATATATGGCTTTATTACATTTTCCAAGTCTACTTACAAATACAACATATATGGTTTTATATGGCTTCAAAATGAAAACTATTAAATGCATTCAAAGAGTTTAACATTCATACTTTATGGTCATAATTAACCTCGGTGTAAATGTAACCTAAATAAAAGTATTAAAATATATTAACGAAATACAATAACTCTAAATTACTTTAAATGGTAATCCATCCAAAATTTATAATAAAAAAACTTGTTCTTCTTCGATGTAGCATGAATTGAAATATCTTTTGATAATTTCAACAACATTTTCTTTATATTGTATGATTGATGTCTCTAAGTTCTCTTGGTTCATATCAATAGCAGTGGGCTTAAACTCTTACTAGTTTAAGAAAATAATGAAATGAAAAAGTCATAAGAGTCATTGTTCACATGGGTTCGAAAGGATAGTCTAAGAAAATAAAGGGAATAATGAGAGGGAGCCTCTCTCTCTCTCTCTCTCTATCAAAAGGAGCAATCTTGGCCTCTACCCTCTCTCTGAGTTGAGTTTCTTTGAATGGATACAAAACCCACTTCAGCTCTTTAGTCAATGGCCCCCAACTTGGTTCAGACATACCTGCAGACCTATAATAGCATCCCTTCCAAAACAAACTTGACTTTTCTCTCTCATTTTCTTTTCATATTCAAAGAAGTAAACATCGAAGTGAGAAGAGTAACATTTAGGACCTAAAGTTAGGCATTGACATAAATGATCCCTTCATATCTGGAAAAAAAGAACAAGCTACATGGAACTGATTCAGGGATGGAAGTCTTGTTAGCATGCTAGATATCGATCCAACCCTAAGCCTATCTACAAAGAAGAGTGTGGCCATAGATGTCATTAAAGAAGATAATCAAATAAACACCTAATTACAAATCTCAAACCACTACAATTCGAAGAGGATCTATCCATTAAATTCCTTATTAGAAAGGTCTCTCTGTAACTTGCTTGCAGAGACGTGTGGTTGTTGAGCTATCTCATCATTCTTGGAACTACTCCCATTTATTTTAGATGCACACCCCCTCGGCCCCTCCTTCCTTCCCTCACTTTTGTTCATTATATCTATTCTTGCTTGGCCTGCTGCCAAGTGCCAAACCCTCTCTGCGTCTCTACCACCCTTCTCTCTCTCTCTCTTTCTCAATCACAACACAACCAGATGGTAGTTTGAAAGTTTTTCAATCCTTCGCCTTCATAATTTCTCTTCTTCTCTGGATTGGCTACTCCGGGAAGTTCTTGTTTCTAAGAGAAATCAACCAGAAGGGTGAGAGACTTAGAGAGTGCTGCACAAAGACATCCAAAGAGAAATTAGCAACGCATTAAATATGGAAAGCGTTGAGAAAGATAGAGAGAGATTAACAGCAGAAATGGAGCTTAAGGACTCCTCCATCCTCATCAGAATCCGGCAACGCTTGCTAGACATTTTACTGTCAGTTAAGCTCAAATATGTCAAATTAGGAAATGGGTACTCATGCAACTCTGCCACTACTCTTATGTTACTCGTAATTCTGCCCCTGTTTATTTCCATTGCCATTCAGCTTTCCGGTTTCAAACTCTTCCGGGTGTCCGAGTTACTGCCAACCACAAGATTTCAATATGGGATTAATGCAACTACAACCATAGCCAGTTTGATGTCTATATTTCTCCTTGGCCTCTACTGTTCCAAGCGATCTGCACCGGTTTATCTGGTGGAGTTTGCCTGTTACAAACCGGAGGATGCGAGGAAGCTGACAGTGGACAGCTTCCTGGAGATGAGTGCAGAGAGCGGTGCCTTTCAAGAGGATGCCCTTAAGTTTATGTCCAAAGTTGCTAAACGAGCTGGTCTTGGCGATGAAACCTACTTCACGACAGGAATTACTTCTCGGCCGCCGAATTTGTGTCTTGATGAAGCTCGCTACGAAGCCGAGACTGTAATATTCGGTGTACTCGATGCTCTGTTCGAGAAAACCGGCTTGGATCCGAGTCAAATAGGAATTCTAATCGTCAACTGTAGCTTATTCAATCCCATACCATCGCTGTCGGCCATGATTGTGAACCACTACAAGCTTCGAACCGACATTAAGTGCTATAATCTCAGTGGAATGGGCTGCAGCGCAAGCCTTACCTCGATCTCGCTAGTTAAGGGCTTTCTCAATGCATACCCTAACACGTATGCGGTCGTTGTGAGCACCGAAAGTATAACCCTAAATTGGTACTTCGGCAACGACCGATCGATGCTGATTAGCAATTGTCTATTTCGTATGGGAGGAGCCGCGGTGCTGTTATCGAACAAGCACGGCGATCGATCCCGATCAAAATACGAGTTAATTCACATGATTAGGACTCACAAAGGGGCTGACGACAAAAGCTACAATTGCGTTTATCAGAAAGATGACGACAAGGGGAAAATGGGGGTTTCACTCGCACGCGAATTAATGGCGATTGCAAGTGAAGCATTAAAGACTAACATTACGACTCTCGGTCCTTTGGTACTACCATTTTCCGAGCAAATCACCTTCTTCCTATCGATGATGAAAAAGAAAGTGCTGAAATCGAAGGTGAAACCCTGCGTACCTGATTTTAAGCTCGCTTTCGAGCATTTCTGTATCCACGCCGGCGGAAGAGCAGTGCTGGACGCTGTGCAGAAGAATCTCGAACTGAGTGACTGGCACATCGAACCCTCAAGGATGACATTGCACCGATTCGGAAATACATCGAGCAGCTCGTTGTGGTACGAATTAGCATATACAGAAGCAAAGAATCGTGTCTCGAAAGGCCACCGGATCTGGCAGGTGGCGTTCGGAGCGGGATTCAAGTGTAACAGTGCGGTATGGAAGGCCCTGCGAGAAATTCCGGCGACCGAGTGCGACGGAGTTAACCCATGGATCGACTCAATTGAAAATTTCCCGGTTAAGGTTCCTGTTGAATAATAATAGCGTCGTCCTTAATGCAGAGAGTTTCCGTAAATCCACGTGGGAGATTATAAATGGATGTGGGACCTCTCTCTTAAAAGGGGGAAAACATTTTATTTAATTGTCTTTTCTTCCAACAATTTAGCCGGCAAAAATATTTCTAAATCTAAGATTTGGTCTCCATCATTAATAACCGTAAAAATCTTTTTGGTAACTTTGGATAAAACTAAATATTTAAAATTTACTTTCCGTTAAGTCGGTCATATCCCCTACCAATAGTAATAGTTATACATAATACCTCTTTCAAAACTCCTCCTTCGAAAATCTCTCTATGCCTTTGTTTTCTAGAACCTTCTTCTTAAACCTGAGGCCTCAAAACCCCTCATTCGAAAATCTCTCTATGCCCTCATTTTCTAGAACCTTCTTAAACCGAGGCCAGAGGCTCGTTTTCTAGAACCTTCTCCTTAAACCGAGGTCAGAGGCTCGAGCATACGTCGCTTGGCCGTAGGCAACGCAAGAACAAATTGGCTTAGCTCACTTGTTGTTGGAAAGTGAATGTCATACAATCGTAAGTCCGCTGCCATCAAAAGTGCAATTGTGACAAGTGATATCAAGAAAAATGATAAATTGAAAGTAAAAAGAAGCCTAAACTTCGACTTGTTATGAAATCCTCTCCTAGGTTCAAGATCGAATATAAGAGTTTGAAGATTGAATATAATAATTATCAAAGAATGACCTTAGTTTTTAAACATAGATTCTAAAACCAAGCACAAGGAAACTGAAAGCAAACAAACAGATAAACCCTAAAATAATGATCTCATAGCAAATGCACATCAACCAAGCAGTATACCCTTCGAGTTTCGACTAAAAAGTGAGAGATTCGAATTGAACGGGAAAAGGAACAGAAGTAATCTTCTCAGAAAAAGAGATGAAGAACAATGAAGTTATCCTTTACCAGTGATTACACAGACTCTCACCTTCAAACGGACATAAAAAAAAAAAAAAAAAAAAAAAAATGGGAGAAAGAACAGAAGATTCGAAAACTGAGTAAAACTTTGAACTGCATATTGCTTATGGTACACACAATTCTCTTTGTTCAACTCTAAGCTAAATAAGAAGTGCCATAAAAGCAAATCATCCTCCAATGCAATCTTTTATGCCACTCAAAACCTCTCTGTTCTTTCTCTTATCTTGTTCACTTTCTTTTACATTCTTTTTCTGAGTGGGGATTTTTGTTATTTCCTGTGATTTAGCCTACTAATCTCCAGTCACACAATCCTTTTCAGTTCTTTTACCATTAATACGGCCGATACCTTCTCCCACGGTTGACTTCATCGCCACTGCTGCTACCTCCCGAACGACTCGTTGGTCCACCTGAGCCACTGCTCCGCTCACTTCTTCTAGACCGAGAAGGTGGCATCGGTACTCCAGGTTGCTGACTGCATTCCCAAGTGATCATACATAGAATTTACTATCTTATATAGTCATATAAAAATGGATTTTGATTCGAGTAAGAGTTGTGAGATCTTACAGGACATAACCAATTCGACCATCCGGTAAAACCATTGGTACCATCTGCATTCCAGCAGGCATTGGCCCCCTACCATAAATCATTGGCTGTTCATGCAAGAAAATCCATGAGATTAATGTGGCCAAAGTCTTGTTTCATTTCATTTCGCTCACTTCGGTGATAAACGAGCAGATTACCTGATGCAAGCCTGCAGTAACACCATACCCACCTAAGGAACCATATGGACTTCCTCCATAGCTACCGTATCCAGCATGAAGAAGATGGTTTGGATGACTTCCAGATATATGGGAATAGGCCCCATCTGGTTTTTTATCACTTTGAGGCTTTGCAAGGACAACCTCCAACACTTGGCCTGCATAACAAATCTCAGAAGATTATTATTATTACTATTTTGAAATACAGATCTCAGAAGATTATTATTTCGGTCAAAAGAAGTCGAACAAATCATTTTTTAATCCACTCCTATCATCAAGGAACACAAACACAATCCCGAAATATTTTTAACGTTTCACTGTAAATAAAAGCGGATATGATTGTACATTTCAGATTTCGAATGTAAATCTCAGAGGATATAGAAATAAAACCTTCAATTTCATATTTCTCTGTCTCTTTTACAGCCTTCAGTGCACTTGACCTCTCAGCGTAATGGATGAATGCAAAATCCCGTTTACTATGCCCAGCTTTCCCAGGTGGCATATTCACTTTTGTCACATCCCCATGCTGCTGAAACAGTTCTTTCAATTGCTCAGTAGTAGTATTCTCAGGTATGTTTTTCACATAAAGAGCCTTCACCTGCGAACCGCAATGTAATAGAACTATGAAAACTTACTAGCATGAACATAGAAAACAGGCAGTCAGTGTCGAAACTAAACAAGTCTTTATAGCTTTCATCATCGCCAATGTAGTATTCAAACTACCATGCTTTTTTAAATATCTTCCTGTGAATTTGGAAACCATATTGTATTTCAAATTATAATTCAATTCCTTCAAGTACATCTAATACACAGTCATAAAGAGAGCTGATCACGAGTAGTTAAAAGGTTTGAGGGATGGAAACAGTTGGAAACATGAAGCTACTTTAATGGTCAAGTAATTGGGCTGAATGCTCACTCCTTCACCAAGGAGATGCATGACATATTGTTAGGTAGAGTGTTCCAGAAGACAAATTTCCTGAAGACTGCATGACACGCGTTTGGGAGTAGTTTTGAAATGGTTAAAATCACTTTTGTCATGTTACACTCGAAAACATGCTTTTAATTATTCAAAATCCACTTAATGATTGATTCTACCCTTTTAAACACAATTTTCATACCATAAAAATTGATTTTGAATCATTAAAAACATGTTTTAAAATGATTTTGAATACGATGAAAGTGATTTTAACCATTTCAAAATCACTCCCGGGCATAATAGCATTAGCCATGGGGTCATTTAGAATTTGTTGAAGTTTGTAAGTGGCAGCCAGATCCAGTGGGATGCCGCAGACTACTTTAAGACGGTTTTGAACTGAACTTAGCTCAAAGAGAAATCCAGACAATCAGATTACTAAAAATTACCAAGATGACTATCTTCCTACTCACATTACCTAACCCAATGTTCAGTTGGTCAATCAATATAATTTTGTGGGTCAGATTTTGGTTGCTATCACTTATTTAGCTATTGAAATTCAAGAAACAAAACAGCACGATATACGACTTTCATCTTTTAACCTATCACATTTGTTAACCAAATTCCAGTCGATACGAAATTTCAAGGTACTTGAAAAATGCCATACAGACCCCATATATTTTCTCCAAAATGGTAACTCAATTACCTGAGAAGCAGCAGAGTTATCAGGTGTACTTTTCGGGTCAGCCCAACTAACAGTTGGGGAATTTCCATCCAGCTTAAAATTCGTGCTCGACATTTTCTGCCTTGAATAATCAGCACAGGCATTGTTATAATATAAAACAAATGCAAATCCACGATTTCGACTTGGGTTCTGAGGATCCTGCAATTGATCATACAGAAGGAAAAACATAAGGGCTCAATAACTATAAATTTCTAGATGATGTATAAATTTGCAACTCCACCTTAATAAGCTCAATGTTTTCAACTCCAGGGCCAACTCCTTCTATAAGTCTCTTAAACTCGTCCTCTGTCCAACTTTTCGGGACATTACCAATAAATAATCTGTGTTTAGAATCAGACAGAGAACACCTTATCGTTTTACCCTGTCGTATGAAGGACAAACTAGAATTACATTAAAAAAATTTGGTGATGGATATCAGAAAAAGAGCAGCTCTGGCTGCTGAAACATGGTAAAGTACTTATAAGTACATCGAAGTCTTAAGGGGTCCCGACAATTACCTTGACTTCTTTACCATGCAACTCTTCTATAGCCTTTTGTGCTGCCTCTTTGGTTTTAAATGATATAAATGCATAACCCTTGCTTTCACCAGAATCTCTGTCCTTTATTATCCTTATCTGCAAAACATTTGTATTACCAAAAGAACTTACCTCTAAAATCGAAGGCCCATAGAAAGAAAGATAGAGCACGAGAAAGAATAAACACCATTCCAGACCTCAAATATTTCACCTAGTGATTCACACAAATCTCTCAAATCTTCTTCCGAAACATCGCGTGAAAGTCCACCAATAAAAACTTCAGATCCATGAGGAGGAAGGGCAAGAAGCTGAGCATGCTTCTCAAGATCATCTTCATCTAACAAAGAAGCAGACTTATCTCTATTTTCTATAGACTCTATGGATATGTTATTTCTACCATCTTCTGAAAATTTATCTTCTGTGTTGGTCTCAGCTTGATGCTCTTCACTAACTTCTTCAACGTCCTCTTCCGGACGTTCACCATCCCTCCTATCTACTCCATCCTCATCTACATGTTCTTCCACATCATCATCCATCTCTTCCATGTAATTGTCCTCTTCAAGATCCACCCGCTCCTCAACTTCCGAACCATCTGCCATGACTGTGCTATGTCGCAGATAGTGTCAACAAACAAACTTCATAAACATCAAAATCACCTGTAATATAATAAATGCATTCAAGTTCTAAATATGGATTAAACTATTAAAAATGAAAAGAAAACAAGATTAACACGAGTAAAATGAAAACATTCAAGTTCTACATATGGGTTTAGTTCAGTGTTGAAGATATCTAGAAGCAACAGTAATAGGAGTCCAGATTTCATAGATAAGGATGAAGAGATTGAAGAAATTTAAAAGTAAAATTCCACAATGCTTGTTCTAAGATGATGAAATTCTAAAAACTAAAACAAACGAGCTCACAAAATTAAGAAACAAAAACTATCGGAGCATAAGCCCAACTCATGTTCTATCCACCATTGTGCTTCATTTCAAATCCAAGAACGAATCACAAAATGCCAGTCGAACAAACAGAATACAACGCAAAGGAAACGCCTCACTTTTCCAATAAACGAATCACAGAATCAAATAGCAAAAAACAAAGCGACAAAGGAATGGGGATTACAAAATCCCAAACCCTATCGAAACAAAAACACACCAAAATGTAATGTTAAACATAATAAACACAAATAAGCAGAATAAATCTCGTCAACATGCTCATTCGGAGACAGCTAAAGAACCCAAAAAGGG